ATGGCCAAACTTCATCTCTCATACTTTGGACATATTGTCAGGAGGGACCAGTTGCTGGAGAAGGATATTATGTTTGGTAAAGTGAAGGGTCAGAGAAAAAGAGGAAGAACCCCATTGAGATGGATTGGCCAAGTGGCAGCATTGATGGACTCAAGCGTGGCAACAATAGTGAGGTTGGCCCAGGATTGGACAGTGTGTCGTTCTGCAGTGCATAAGATAACAATGAGTCAGTACTGACTCGATGGCACCTAACAACAATAACAATTTTCAGAAGCATATTGACAGGCCTTTTTTCCCATGTGAAGCTGTTGTTGTTAAATGGTGTTGTCGAGTTGGTTCCAACTCAAAGCAACCCTGTATAGGGGTCCTAGAAGCAGCTGGTGGGTTTGAACCACTGACCTTGTGGCTCAAAATGACCATGCAGTCAGTCCAGCACATCATTCTGTAGCACCAAAATAGGACTCCTGGAACCTTAACTGAAGCCAATCTACTATGGGTGGGATTGCTGGTATTTGATATACAGGTTGCATAGCTTTCAGCACCACAGTGACATAAAAGCAATCACAGTATGACAAACTGGCACATGGGAAACCTCAATGAGAGGCACTGACACAAAAGCTGCAACAATGGACTCAAACAAACTGACCTTCAGGATGATACATACGCCCCGGAAGCATTTTATTCTATCAAACATAAAGGAGCCCAGGAGTCAGAAGAGACTCGATGATAACAACATCGCAGTATGTTATAATAGGAACACATTACAATTCATTCTTATTTTAAAGTTACTGGACATTTTGGCTGTCCCTAATTTTTCACCATTCTAAAATATACTGCAGTGACTATTTTCATAATGTCTCCTTGTGCAAATGGGCTTATGTTTCGGACCGAAGATTTTTAACCACCGTGCAACCAGGAACTACAAATGCAAACAAACGTCATTTATCTGAGCAGACCACTGATAAGGAGAAATTATATTGACAGCCAAGATAAACTGCTTCTTAACAAACTGAAAGTACATTGGATTTCACCCTTCCCAACTGCAATCAACTCATGTCAGACTGAACACAAGTAAAATTCCACCGTGGTCCACCAATGTCAATGATTTCACAACAGGAAAATAAATTTCTATCTGGATTTAAATTAATTCATAAGTAAACAGAAAGGTTAACCACAATATATTTAGCAATACTATTTATCTCCAGATTTGTACCATGGGCTATCATTCAGCAAATAATTCTTTTGCGAAATAAGTTTAGTGAGGAATGTATTGCTTTATGTTTCACACATAATGCCCCACATAAATGATGCACGCACATCTATAACGTGCATAGTGCTCATAGGAAACTAAGATGTGAGAGGTTATGGGGTTTGTGAAAGCTGCAACACACGCACATTACTTGCAGAAATTACAATGATCAACTTGATAACCACTGCCAGGAAGGAAGGCAGTTGGCAACGACTCCCCAAGACCCTGCCAATCCCAGCTCAATGTGAACTGATTTTCAAATCTGACTCAGGTGGTAACTGGAAGAAATATCATTAATTATTTTTTAATTACCTTACAAAAGCCTTTTTTAATTGTACTGAAATCTGGCAAAACATAGTCTATCATTACTGTATTTTCTTCTCCTTTCAACCTGGAAAACAAAATAGATTCGTGAAACATTTTAACTATATGTAACATCACCCAAGAATTCACTTTCCAAATCTCAGTTTCTCATTATTATACATACTTTGCAATATCCATATCTCTATAAAAATCCTGAGACACATAACATACATCTTCTTTTACTTGGTTGATCACATGCGTTTCATCCATAACATGTAGTTGCCTACACAGAAATAAAAATTGTAAAATATGAAAACATTAAAATGGAATTCACATTAAAAGTATTTTTTCTGAAATGAAAATTTTAGATGTCTGATTTTTTAAAAGAATTTAAACCCTTACATGTGTAAAATAGTTTAAACTTTATGAAATGCTCTCACTTTATCTTATGTAATCCAACATTGTCTTTTTGGAGGCAGGAAGTAGTCTAGTTTGCAAGTAAAGAGAGTGAATGCAGACATGTTAAATATCTTTTCAAAATAATTCAGTTTATCTGACTATAGAGTAAACTATCCACCCCCTAACCATTCTTAACAGAATCTCTGCAAAATGCCTTAACTTTTTTCACTTTCTTTCCCGAGTACCTGGCACAGAGGCAATGTTTAATAAATACTTGATAAGTCAATCAAAGAAAACACAGCTTTACTGGAGAAAATCAAGATGTCTAAAGAAATAAGCAAAAATGGGAGGCTGACTTTAAAAAAAATATTTTTCCACTTTGATTTTACTACATGTTGTTGTTGTTGTCAAGTGCTATCGAGTCGATTCCGACCCATAGCGACACTTCAGAGGGTTTCCAAGGAGCAGATAGTGAACCACCAACCTTGCAGTGCAAATGACTTTGCAGTCTGAAGCATTAGCCCACAGTGCCACACCAGGACTCCGATTTTACTATATACTCATGCTTATTTTTACATTTTAAACCAAACATTATCTCATGTACACTTTCTTGTGCTATTTCATGTTCTTTAGAAATAAGATTTTTTTACTGCCTTGTAATATTCAGTTAGATAGACCTGTTGTTAGATGCTGTGGAATTGGTTCCGACTCATAACAACCCTGTGCACAACAGAACAAAACACTGCCTGGTCCTGTGCCATCCTCACAACTGTTGTTACACTTGAGCCCACTGCTGCTGCCACTGTGCCAATCCTTCGCATTGGGGGTTTTTCCTTTTTCGCTGACCTTCCACTTTACCAGGCATAATGTTCTTCTCCAGGGACTGGACCCTCCTGATGGCATGCATGTTCAAAGTAAGAGAGATGAAAGTCTGGCAATCCTGGCTTCTAAGGAACATTCTGACTGTATTTCTTCCAACACAGATTTGTTTGTTCTTCTGACAGTCCATGGTACTTACAATATTCTTTTCCAATAGAACTTAGATGCAACAATTCTTCTAAAGTCTTCCTTATTCCTTGCCCAACTTTCACATGCATATGAGGTTACTGAAAATACTACATCTTGGGTCAGGCACACCTTGATCCTTCAACTGAGTATCTTTGCTCTTTAATACTGTAAAGAGGTCTGTGCATATCTGTCCAATACAATAGTCATTTTATTTAACTGTTGATTACTGTTGACTGTGGATCCAAGTAAAATGAAGTCTTTGATAACTTCTATCTTTTCTCCATTCATCATGATGTTATTTATTGGTCCAGTTGTGAAAGGTTTTGTTTTCTTAGGTTCAGATGCAAGTTATACTGAAGTCTCTCATCCTCATCAGCATGTTAAGTCCTTTTTGCTTCAGCAAGCAAGGCTGTATCATCAGCATATCTCAGGTTGTTCTTAATTCTTCCACCAATCCTGATCTCATATTCTTCTTTATATACTCCAGCTTCTCGGATTATTTGCTCAGCATGCAGATTAAGTAAGCATGGTAAAAGAATACAAACTTAATGCACACCTACCTTGACTTTAAACCATACCCTTGTTCTGTTCAAACAACTGCCTCTTGGTTTATGTGCAGGTACCTCATGAGCACAATTAAGTGTTCTGGAATACCCACTTTTCGCAGTTTTAGTCCTAGTGTGTCATGATCCACACAGTCAAAAGCCTTTGCTTACCCAGTAAAGAACAAGTAAACACAAATGCTCGAAAATCAGAAAGGAGATATGAGTGCATTTAGAAATATGGGCTTTGTAGACAGACACCTAGGCTAAGACACTATTCAGTGTTATATTACTTCTTTGGAATATAATCTTTTCAACTCCAAAACAGTAGTAAGACCACCTACATATCAGAGCAGTAAGAATTCTTTTTATCATATATGTAGTGTTTGTTTCACAAACTCCCTGGATTCAGTAAATCAAAAACATTATTATTGTTTCTATCTTTTTATTTCTATAATAACAAACATCTTTATATCCACTATATTTCAATAAAAGGTACCAATGACTCCTGGTGTGGCACTGTAGGATAAACACTGGACTGCTAACTGCAAGGTCGGTGATTCAAACCCTGCAGTTACTCCTTGGAAACCCTATACAGGATCACTATGAACTGGAACTGACTCGACAGGACATAACTACCACCAGTAGGGAGCTCATGTGTGGTGTAAATGGTTAATGTGCTCACGTGCTAACTCAGAGATTGGAGGTTTGAGTCTACTCCATGGTGTCCTGGAAGGAAGACATGGGCATCTACTTCTGAAAAGTCAACCAGTGATAAATCTATGAAACAAAGTCCACAAAATGTTTTATATATGCCACTTTAATGAGTAGTGACCGGTGGTGGTGGTGTGCTGTGGAGTCGGTTCCTATGTGTTGAAGGCTGTAAATCTTGTGGGAGCAGAAAGCCTCATTTTTCTCCCACAGAACCTCTGGTAGTTTCAAACTGCTGACTGTGAGATTAGCAGCCCAACTTGTTTGTAACCACTATGCTACCACTAGTGACTAGGATCTTAAAAGCTCACGATTGGCCATCTCATCATGCAGCTATTGGTCTTTCCCTGTGCAGAGGAAAGAGGAGTGATGCCAAACGAAGACGCTTGGAATCAATGAATCCAGTGGACTTACTGAACATGTGAACATCAATCTTCATGACTCTGAGACCAAAAGAAATAGATGGTGCCTGATTTCCACTGCCAAATGTTCTGAAAGGGATCACATTTGAAGGGAGAATATGCAGAACAAAACTCAAATTATAAAAATGACCAGGTTTGTTGGTCAGAGAGAGACTAGAGGAACTGGAGACTTACTCTTAGCCACCCTAGTGACCCAATTTTCAGCCAAGTAGTATATAGGTAAATAGTGGGGACAACACTAGGAAGGTAAGCTCACCATGGAGTGGTCAGCCATTGAAGATAAAAAGGGCAACATGTTTACCTAAGGACAAAGTTCAGAAGGGTTGGGAGAGAGGGTGAACTAGAAATAAGAACCACTGAGAAAAAGTGGGAAGACTGCTGTTACGTGGAAGGGATTGCAATCACCGAGAGGAAACAAAGCGTATGATTTGCTGAACTTAAAAATGATGATGTGCTCTGTAAACCTTCATTCAATCACAATAAAGAGTTCCAAAAAGAACGGGTACCCACTATACGACCCATTTTTATAACATTCTTGAAATCACATAGAACATAGGGATGATCAATGGGAAATTAACAGCACCATACTCTTCAGAAATGATATGGTAAGAGACTGAGATTTCAAAATTTAAACGTAACAAAATAGAACAACAAATTTTAGGAGGCAGAGAAGGCTGGGAGATGACTTAAATGCACTAAATTCTTTGTCTTTTAGTTGACTATCAACTAATATTGGCTAATCAAGGAACAAATACCAACATATTATTATGACTTACAGAAATACAAGAATGAAAGGTACAATTCAAATATTATTCTCTCTGTGGAACAGAACTGAAGTGAGAGAGAGAAGGGGAGATTTACATTCCTACTAGACCCTGATATCTTCCCATACATTTTCTGCTTATTTTCCCATATGCGAGTTCTATAATTTTTAAGTATTATTAATAAATTAGAAAATGTGGTAGCTCAGAAGGATAAGCACTGGACAATAACCCAAAAGGTGAGCAGTTCAAACCCACCAGCTACTCCACAGGAGCAAGATAAGGCTTTTAGCTCCTAGAAAGATTGACAACCTTGGAACCCTATACCGGGTCAACATGAGTCAGAATCTACTTAAGGCATTTAATATCATTAATACCATTTCCCCAAATCATTACTGAAATGCTATATGATAAAGTTCATAATTCAATCACATTTAAATATTCTGTACTTATTATGAGTACATAGAATTTGGAACACTCTTTTTGATGATTAATACCATTTCGTATGTTAGATGTATGGCTACAACAGTACATTGACAGGAAACTGCCAGAGGTTCAAACTAGATTCAGACGAGGACATGGCACAAGGAATATCATTGCTGATGCCAGACGGATCTTGGCTGAAAGCAGAGAATACCAGAAAGATATTTACCCATGCTTTACTGACTGTGCAAAGGAGTTCAACTATGTGGATCATGACAAGCTATGGACGACATACTGGAGAATGGGTATTCCATAACACTTAATTGTGCTCCTGAGGAACCTGTACATAGATAAAGAGGCAGTAGTTCAAACTAAACAAGGTGACACTGAATGGTTTATAATCAGTAAAGGTGTGCCCTAGGGTTGTATTCTTCATACTTATTCAATCTGTATGCTGAGCAAATAATCTGAGAATCTGGATATTATGACGAAGAATGTGACATCAGGATTGGAGGAAGACTCATTAATAACCTGCTATAAGCAGATGACACAATCTTCCTTGCTGAAAGTAAAGAGGACTTAAAACACTTACTGAGGGAGATCAAAAACTACAACCTTTGGTTAAGTGTTGCAACTCAGTGTAAAGGAAATAAAAATCCTCACAAGTGGACCTATAAATAACATCATGATAAATGGAGGAAAGATCGAAGTTGTCAAAGACTTCATTTTGCTTGGATCCACTATTAACATTCATGGAAGTAGCATTCAACAAATCAAATGATATACTGCATTAGACAAATGTGCTGCATAGAACCTCTTTAAAGTGCTCAAGAGTAAAGATGTTAGTTTGAGGACTAAAGTGAGTCTGACCCAAGTCATGCATTTTCAATAGCCTCATATGCATGTGAAAGTTGGACAGTGAATAAGGAAGACCAGAGAAGAGTTGTTACCTTTGAGTCATGGTGTTGGAGGAGAATATTAAAAGTACCAAGGATTGCCAGAAGAACAAACAAATCTCTGTTGGAAGAAATACAGTCAGAATGTTCCTCAGAAGCCAGAATGGTGAGACTTCATCCCTCATACTTTGGACCTGGAGAAGGACATCCAGCTTGGTAAAGTAGAAGGTCAGCGAAAAAGAAGTAGGCCCCCAACATGATGAACTGACAGCATGGCAGCAGCAATGAGCCCAGGTACAACAACAATTTTGAGGAGGGTGCAGGACTGGGCAGTGTTTTGTTCGGTTATGCACAGAGTAGCTATGAGTCAAAATTTGTTCGAAAGCTTTTCAATTTGAACATCACTGGTGCTGTGGGTTAGTTAATGCGCTGGACTACAAAGTCGGTATGAACCACAAAGTTGGTGGTTCAAACTCACCAGTTGCTCCTTGGAAACCCTGTACAGGGTCACTATGGGTTGGAATCAACTCAACGGCACTTAACAACAAGTATTTATTATACAATGGAAAATTGCCTCCTGGAGGTAGAATGAAAGGTACATCGTCAGCAGCCCCTCCTCCCGAAGACACCAAGTTGAGATAAACTTTACCTGTAAGAGATGATCTCCTTTAGATGATTCGTTAAGAGCTTTCCTCCCACATTTATCCTAAAGAAGGAGAGTTCAAATCTGGTTCAGTTATCACACATTGAACTCAGTTATATCCTAAGAAATAACATAAAAATTAAATGAAACTCACCGAATAATTGCTTCTTTTTTCTTTTTACTTCTACAATAAGGGACAATATGTGTAAATGAATATCCACTATCTACAATGATACAGCATAACTCAGAAGGATTATCTCGAAAATATCTATGTGCACTGAGAGCCCCAGCTACAAAAAAAAGCGAGAAAGTTACATGGTATTTCAGCAATACTAATCTTTCAGAGATTGGAAACATATGGCTAGTAATTTAACTAAGCAGAACCATCACATTAATCAAAATGTCCACTGAGACGGGTTTGATTGGATAATTTCTAACTTAAAATCTTATATTTTAGTTCCTTAAATCTAAAAGAATGCCACCAAGTAGACTAGGATTGTAAGGATCTCTTTACCCTATTCATATTCACATCCAAGTAACTCAATTTTAATCAAAACTTTAACCTACCATTTACTCTTAATACTGCTTGGAACTGGTATTCTTCAAATAGGATTTCATTCATTGATTCCTGAATTGAAGTGAAGTTAAAATATGGTTCTGTGATGATAATATTAGTATCTAAAAAGTCAACCTAAATAAGAAAAAAAAAATGTCAAAAATCTATTTCATAACTTTTAATGATAATTATAAAAACATGTCTTACATATATGAACAAGTAAATTTATTTAATCCTCAGTATAATCTTGTAAGATAGGTCTTCCTATTATCTCTGTTTAACAGATGAGCAAACCGAGACACAAAGGGTTGCATAAGTCACCAAGGTTCACCTGGGTAGTTAGTAACACAGCTAGGATTTGGATGCAAGGAGTCTCCTTACAGAGTCCATTCACCTGCCTATCATGCAACGTTCTCTCTCGTAATAGCAGCATTCATAAATGGTACTGTTCACTGTGCACAAGTAATAAATAACATAACTACATGCATTGGGACTGTTGGTTATAAAAGGAAACACGGGAGCAGCTTTAGAAATTTAATTTATATAATTCTGTCTCAGGCCTCTTAAGAAGCATTAAAACATTCTTCTTGGTATATCAAAAGTCATGCTAGATAATACACGCAAAAAATTCTCATTTTGTCATATTCATATGTCCAGATACAGTCAAAATATTTTGTTATGAAAATAAAAATGAGATAGTGAATTGGACTAATTATAGTATTAGAAATCTAAAATGCAATTTTAATCTTGAGTTGTATATAGATTTTATTCAACGAGTCCTGGTAGTACCAGAGGATAAGCATTGTACTGCTAACTGCTAATAAAGTCAGAAGTTCAAACCCACCAGCTGCTCTGTGGGAGAATGATTAGGCTTTCTGTGCCCATAAAGATTAAGATTCCTAGTGTGAACTTAGACATTGGCTACCTAAAATGCTGGGGAGGGGGCTACCTAAAATGAAGTGGCTGGTTTACAATTTTTCAAGAGGAAGTTTAGTTTCGGAGTGTGCAGTAGGATCCCAAAGAATAGTTTTCATCTTGTCTAGATGGGTCTGTTGAAAGGAGTTGGGGATAGGATTCTTTTGATTCAATAATAATTATTATCATGACTAATTGCAATTGTCTTAACTATAAAGGTAGAAGATAGTTAACAAAAAGGGGGAAGTAGTTAATCTTATATTCCAGGAACAAAAGACCCTAGGGCCATCAAGAAGGAAGAGCATGAGTGGAACATGGGACCCTATCCAGAGAAGCAGTGACACCAGAGAAGGAGGCAGAGGTGATGACATGGAGAGAAAGCACAGCTGAGAACTCTACATTCAAGGAAAGAGAAAGGCTATGTGCTGGCGGGCAGGAGGCTGGCTTGCAAAATGTGCCCTTTTGTTGTTTAAATGATTATATATTCCTGTGTGTTTCTGTGTACATTAAAAAAAAAACCCCAAAAAATAAAACAGGGAATAGAGGCAAATACTGTTAACTGATAGTGCATGGAGTGGATTGCAGTCATTGCAACGAAACAAAATACGATTAGTTGAGTGGAAAACCGATATTCTCCCACATAAACTATCACTCAATTCACAATAAAAGCTTTAAAACAAAATAAACAAAAGAGTCTTAGTGTGGCGCTGTAGGATAAGCATTGAACCACAAGGTCAGCAGTTCACACTCATCAGCCACAACTTGGAAACCCTATACAGGGTAGCTATGAGTCAGAACCGACTTGACAGTACTTAACAAAAACAAAAGATTTAGAGCCTCATAAATTTTATACAGCACTAGTATGAGGAGAAATCAACTTGATGATAGTGGGTGTTTTGTATTTATTTAAGGAGCCCTGGTAGTGCCGTAGGTTAGGAGCAGGGAGGCTAACTGCAATGTCAGCAGTTCAAACCCACTAGCTGTCCAAGAGAGAAAGACGAATTTGTCTGGTCCTATAAATATTGACAGACTCAGAAGTCCTATATAGGGTTGCTGTGAATTGGAATCAACTCCACGGCAGTGGGCTTGATTTACATTTACTTAACCTTTAGAAAAATCAGAGCTAGCCACGGTAAATTATAGCAAGTAAGTTAAATATCTATTAGAAATAAACCTTTATGTTTTAAAATGTACGTTCTCAATTCTCATTTGAATAAAACATGGAAATAGATTTTGAATACATACTCTAATCTGTTACCTGATACATTTCTTTTCCAAAAAGATAATCCCAAACTTGTCTTTGAACGTCCCAGTTTACCAAGTAGCCCTAAAAAAAAGAAAAAGAAAAAGACTAATTACCAAGAATACTTAATTTTTAAAATACCAGATTAATACATTGCAAATGATCAACTTCTATCTCTGTGTACTTTCTCCAGTCTAACATTGTATGAATTCCACACAATCATATTGGTATGCCTTTCTCCTTTAAAATTTCAAATATATTACAAATTAATAACCAAACTTTCAGGGGTTAAAAAGAAAGACCAATATATAGAGGTCTCTTTACACTGCTTTGTTTTGTTTTTAATTTTTATTTACATTAATACATTCATCTCATTTGACTTTTTATATAAACAAGTAGTATTCAATACCTGCAATCAGTAACTAACTGATAGTCTTTATTTTTACCGAGGCAAATTCATTTCAATTTTTAGTTTTACGGAGACCTTAATTAAAATTTAAATCACCTTTTCTTACAGATCTAAAAATATTCTCATGTAGACATCTTTATACACATAGATCCATCTTTCATGTATCTTTAAACGTAGATCTATAATGCTAGAAATGACATGCAATTGGATTACCTTCTGAAAGGGAAGAATGTAAAAGAGTCCAGAAGGATCTTTTATTTCATCTATCTGGTTGGCAGTAAAGGTTTTGAGACGTGCTGTTTTTGACCTAAACTGGCAGTTAGGTATAACCCTACAAACAAAGAAACAAATAAAACAATTATTCCCAAAAAACGTGATTCCTGAAAATACAATATAATAAAGTTATCGACACCAAAAATAGTATATCGGAAACCACTGTTTCTCATTTGTCTTCAAATAATAAAAAATGCCTTTTTTTCTCCCCCTTAAGGTTCTTGGAGTCCTGGTGTGGCACTCTAGGATAAACAACTGCACTGCTAAGCACAAAGTCGGTGGCTCAAACCCACCAGCTGCTCCTCGGAAACCCTAGAGAGGGTCGTTATGAGTTGGACCAGACTCAACAGCACTTAACAACAATAATAAACTTATACCAAAAGGGCACTGGTGGCACAGTGGGTTGAACACTGGACTGCTAACCACAAGGTCAGCAATTTGGATGCACGATCTGCTCAGCAGCAAAAAAGATGAGGCTTTCTGCTACCGTAAGTTCTGCAGCCTCAGAAACCACTATGAGTTGAAACTGACTCAACAGCATACAAGTTCATAGCAGGCTCTGTGCTAGACCCTTTGTCTCTCTCAAATGATCCTCAAGAAATCATTACAGGTGAGTCATGATAGCAACTTCAATGCAACTGATTGGTTGTTGGTTACTGTTTCCACTACAACATAACTGAGAGCCTGGACCCAAATAAAGGTGCTGGGCTTGCTGGCTCTCATTATGGAAATTCTTTCTACCATTATGGTTAAAGAATCACACATTCAAAAATATCGCCATAAAATTAACTTCCATGAAATTAATGCTTTTGACAAGCAAGATGCTACAAGGTACATAAATAATGTGTTGTTGTTAAGTCCTGTAAAGTTGGTTTCGACTCATCTTTCTCCCATGAAGCAGCTGAGAGTGGATGGCACAGAAATGTACAAGGTGTATGTTATATGCTTAAAAATACAGTAACTAATATCTTAGGTAACTGATAAATAGAATCCCTGCGTCAAAACATATAAACAATGATTGTTGTTGTTGTTGTTAAGTGCCGTTGAGTCGGTTCTGACCCACAGCGACCCTGTATAGGGTTTCCAAGGAGTAGCTGTTGAGCTCGAACCATCGGTTCAAAACGGCTTTGCAGTCCAGCGCATTAACCTACAAGAGCCACACAAGGACTCCACTGGTATTGGTGGTTGTTGTTAAGTGCCGTCGAGTTGGTTCTGACTCATAGCGACCCTACACAGGGTTTCCAAGGAGTGGTTGGTGAGCTTGAACTGCCGACCTGGCAGTTCAAACCGACTTTGCAGTCTAGTGCATTAACCCACAGCATCACATAAACAATGATAAAGACTGACAAAATAGTTTCCAGAAAGGCTGTACCAAACTACATTCCTAAACAGTTTGGCTGCCTCCGTGAAAAAAAAAAAGAGGAAGAAAAAGGAAAAAACAAAAACCAGAACGTTCTTTGCGACTAATAAAGAAAAAGAGTATCCTTAAATTTTCTTATTGTTTTATACTTTTATGAATATTCACTGTTTAATTGACCATATGAACATATTGGGCACTTCCAAGGGACTACGTACAGAACCTTCAAGAAAATGATTTGACTTTTTTGGTTACGGATTGTTTGATGATCTAGACTGTTTGATGATAACTAGAATCACGTCCCCAAGATAATGAATATACATACATTCAATATGCAGTCCACAATTTCATAGGACACATGAGCTTTGTTTACAGACCACTGTCAAGAAAAGCTTTCTTAGGCTATTTACTAAAAACAGAACCACACATCCCCCTTCCGGGACCCTGCAGCCCAAACTTAAAACCAAAATCAATTCCAGTTTAGATCATCCCTCTAGCTCAGGTGAGGGCCGCGCGGGAGCGTCTGCAGTTCATTGTTGTCCCAAAATGAAACCTGGAGTGTGAAACTACCAGGCGTATCTGTCTTGCCCCTCGGTGAAAACGAACACTTACGAGACATTTTCATGGCTGTAACCGATTTTGGCGTTGTAGGCTCCGTTATCCAGCACTAAGGTTGTCATTTTAGCATAAGCCACACGGCCGCCGCGACCGATTTCCGGTTCAGGCCCTTCGCTCACCCTTGTTCAGTCTTTCTGTGGTTTCCTGGGGCGGGCCGTTAGGACGCCATTTCCGGTCTCCTTAGCAACGCAGGACGCCGGAAGTCAGTGTTTTCCTTGCGTGTTGCAAGGGTCCTGGTGTGCTTCCAAGCCTTGCCTGTTTACGTGCTACAGAGAGCCAACAAAAGAGGAAACGGACAAGTGCTTTCTCGCCCAAATGCGTGTTTGTCCTTTACTTCGTAGATTGATTTGCTGATGCACGTTTCTTCTAACCCTTTCTTGTTGTTAAGTGCATTCGCGTCAGTGACTCATAGCGACGCTGTATACGGTTTCCAAGGAGCAGCTGGTGAATTTGAACTGCCGATTTTGCAGACCTTGTGGTCCAGTGAATTATTCTACAGTGCCACACCAGAACTCCCTAACCCTTGTAGGGAATCAGGTTTTTTTAGCTTTTTCTTTTGGCCTTCAAATTGTATTGTTTAGAGAGTGACATTTCTTGGCGAATAAATTGCAAAACCATTGTTGTTGTTGTTGAGTGCCATCGAGTCGGGTCCGACCCATAGCGACCCTGTGCAGGGTTTCCGAGGGTGTAAATCTTTACGGGAGTAGAAAGCCTCATCTTTCTCCCGCGGAGCGGCTGGTAGTTTCGAACCGCTGACCTTACGCATTGTGAAATTGTAATGAGGTCTCATTCCCTGGCACTCCCTATCCAACTGAAGGATAAAATCACCCTGAATTATATATGCATTTTTCCGTAAATCTGTCCTGCTTTCTTCCTTACGCTTCCACTCCCACTCTTTTTCCTGGATTATACCTAGCTGTTCTTCAGGATCAAGTTCAAGTGTCTTTCACATTTAAGAGGGCACCTAGACATCTGAAACGCTTCTTGCTCATTCCCCTTTCTGGAATTAGATGGCCATCCTATGTGCACCTTTTGTTGTTAAGTGCCTTCGAGTCAGTTCCGACTCATATAGATCCTGTAGAGGGTTCCTGAGGAGTGGCTGGTGGGTTTGAACTGCTGACCTTGCAATCCAGCACATTATCCTGCAGCAGCACAAATTGTTAAAGAGGATTCAGTCCTGACTCTATCACAAAATGGAGGCTGTGTAGGATTAGCACTGGATTGCGAACCGTAAAATGGGCATTGCAAACCCACCAACTTCTCGAAAACTCTATAGAGTTGCTGTGAGTAGGAATCGACTGAACAGTACTTAACAACCACCACCTCCTTGGGTCACGATAATGGTTAAAACACTTAATTTACTGCGTGCAAGTATGCGATTTTAAGAGTTTTACATTACTAATTTCTGTAAAACAGGTTGTTGCTATTAGGTGACATAGAGTCGTTTCTGACTCATTGCGCCATAGGGTTTTCTAGCCTTTAATCTTTATGGGAGTAAATATCTAGGTCTTTCTCCCCATGAGGTAGTTCCTGTTATTCAAATCACAGAGATAGAGGTTAAGAATGCAACCTGTGGAACCAAACTCCGGGACTAAATCCTAGGTTTGCCTCTAACTAGGATATATTAAGCAAAGATGTCACTTTGAGGACTAATGTGCACCTGACTCAAGTCATAGAATTTTTAATCGTCAAGGTCCTCAACAAGATAGATTGGCACAGTAGCTGTAACAATGGGCTCAAACATAGCAATAATTGTGTGGATGTTTTTTGGTTTTGTTCTGGTGTACATATAGGGTCCCTAAGAGTTGCAACTGACACCACAGGCACCTAACAACAAAAACACATTCTCGTGTTGGAGGCCCTGTGTGGCTCAAAAGGTTAAGGCTCACTACTAGTCTGGTGGGGATTCCTGGTGTGGCACTGTAGGATCAGCACTGGACTGTGAACAAGGTCGGTAGTTCAAGCCCACCAGCTGCTTCTCGGAAACGCTATACAGGGTCACTATGAGTCGGAATCAGCTCGACAGCACTTAACAACAACTAGTCTGACGTGGCTATATAGGTTAAGTACTGAATTGCTGAACGCAAGGTCGGCAGTTGAAACCTACTAGCTGCTCCTTGGAAATCCTCCACAGGGTTGCTTTTTGTCAGAACTGACTTGATGGTACTGAAGATCTGCTTCTAAAACGTCACAGCCTTGAAAACCTTCTGGAGCCTTTCTACTTTGCACGTAAGTGTGTCGGTGAGTCAGAACAGACTCAAAGGCAATTAAAAATAACAAGATTCTATCAAGACATGTCAAATTTCATTTCCCTTCGGGCTGAAGTAACAGGAGGAAACGTTAAATTGTAACATTTAATTAGGGAAAGGTAGATATTTTAGCAAAGGGGAAGAAAAAGGATTGAATACGAAGAAAGCGAAGTAGGCAAAGAGCAAAAACAAAACAGCAGTCAGTGGAAAAGACAAATTCTTAGGAAATGAAAATTTCAAACAGGATGTGTGAAGAACATCCTGTGACGGACACAGGAACCAGACCAGAAATTGAGGTTGTTGCTGCTATGTGTCGTCGAGTCTGTTGCGACTCACAGCGACCCTGTGTAGAGCGACTGGTAAATTTGAACCACCTACGTTGCTGGTCAAACCCACCTTATGATCGAATGATTATCCTATAGCGCCACCCCAAGACTGTAGAAGTTGGAGAGGGGGAACGAAAAACCAGGGAGGTTGTTGCATTGGAAGTTAAAGCACTAAGACGTGTCAAAGCAGGGGAACACATTGGCCGAAATAGCCAACGCGCAACACTGTTTCCAACCACGCGAGTCCGCAGGGAACTGACAACTCCACTAGCCCAGCCTCTTACCAGCCTGTTTACCCCGCTCATCCTGGGCTAGCTACTCTCCGAGCCTGCGCTTGCCCCGCCCATCCTCTTTCGCCTCGCCCCACTAGGTCTAGCTCTGCCGGGCGTATACGCTCACCCCGCCCTGTCCGGAAGCTGCTCTTACCCCTCCCCGCCACGTACCCGCCTAGTTCGCTCCGCCCCGCCCGGACCCTGGGCTCAACCCGTGGCTCTGTTTGTTTAGCCCCGCCCCTCTCCGCCCGGAGCCTGCGTTCGCCCCGCCCCCTCCCTCACGCCCTCCCCCAGGTCTCTTAGGTGATGCTGCAGCCAAGATGGCGCTGGCGGCGGCGACGGCAGCTTGAACGCGATGCTCTGGGTCTTCGGCGGCAGCTGCGGCGGCGGCTGCTGTGGCCTCAGCCGGGGCCTCAGGACTCTCCCGGGCGTGAGCGCTCAGGCGCCTCTCCTCCGGCCCGGCTAACCCGGATAAAGAGAAGACGGCTACGAAGGAAGGAGGCAGTAAGCAACAGAGAGAGAGCGTGGCGCCTGACGCCCGGGCACCATGGCTGGGATCATCAAGAAGCAGATCCTGAAGCACCTCTCCAGGTTTGTGAGAGCCCCGGCGGTGGGAGGCGAAGGGGACTCCCGCTTCCCCGTAGCCCCTGCCGGCTCGGGTCGGGACACAGGTCATGGAGCCCAGTACCCGTCGCCTGCGGCACCTTCGGCCCTGGCTGGGTTCTCCCAGAGCTGACTCCAGGAGCCGCATGGGGGCGGCGGGGGCCCCCCTCGGGCAGCCGTGCGCGGCAGCGGGAGAGCACCTGGAGTGGGCCAGGTGCGTCGTGTGGTAGGAGCCTGTAAGTGGTGTGTGCTCGCTTCCACCCGGAGCAGGACGCTTCCGTTCATCGAGGCCGGCTGGTGCTGTGTGGACTTAAGGGCTAACTGTCTTCATGAAATGTAAACCTTGTTATTGTTCTGAGCTCACCCCACCTCGGCATTCCGCTCTGGTGCATTAGAGGGTGTGCCAGTTTGCAGAGTTCAGATTTGTTTTATGTAAATAGCCAGAGTTCCCAGCTTTCGCAAGTTCGTTCTGGAGCCGCTTGGTCCCATCATTCTTACAAAACAGTATTTTCGTTGTGGGTTTTTGGTTTTTTTGTTTTGCATAAGCCTAGAACCCATAAATTCAGGGAGTCAGCATCTGGGGTAATAAATCTTAGGACGTGTCATCGTTTCCATTTCATAACGCGGTTTTAGTCAGAAACATGACTCAGTAATGTTGGCAGTTTGTTACTGCTCTTGGCTTCTCCAAATTTGTCTCCAGACACAGGCTAAGTGAAGGAGCTTGTTTCAAGTTGTAAACTGAACAATACAAAGCGCTTGGTTACGACCCTTGTCTCTTCTCTGATACTTATCTATAAGTTAATGGTTACCTTTAACTGATTACAGAAGAGACTTAGATAAATGATATACTTGCATGGTAAACCAAATCTTAACTCTTGAGATTGTTCTTTGCCATAGATTATATGGTGGTGGTGGTTGTGTGTTGTGGAGTCGGTTCCGAGTCATAAGCCACCCTGTATAGGGTTTCCAAGGCTGTGAATATTTACGGGAACAGAAAGCCTCATCTTTCTCCTGTGAAACGACTGGTAGATTCGATCCACTAACCTTTTTGTTAGCAGCCTATCTCGTAGTTCACTACGTTACCAGGGAATAAAATCAATATTTCTCTGCTTCAGCAAGTATTTTCATATATAGCATTGAATAAGCAAACTAACTTTCTTTATTTGGTAATTTATGACTGTATTTATTAATATACAATTTCTTCATATTATCACTAACTAGAAAGTTTCTTTTAAAATGGCATATAATAATTCTGAGTTATCTTATGTTGAAAAAAGTTTTTGTCTGTTTTAAATTTATTATTTATATCCGATGTCCTCTAGCTTTTCTCATATTCAGTTCCAAGGGAAAATTCTGCCCCACAGAAAATTATTTGAAGGATGTTGATGCATAGGTACTGCTGCATTGGAGAGGTTACCATATTTTTATGTAGATAATATGTGTAAATAATAACAATACAAGTGTTAGATGGATTTTGCAAATCTCAGCTCCGCATGAGTTTATATCCTGTGCACCACTGCTATGCATGTTGTTATATGTGTGCCATTGTTTCAGTGGGCACATTATATGTGAGAAAATATGGTAATTCATTCAATGGATGTGTGCCTTACCTCTTAGGGTGTAGACTTTAATTCTCTTGTAGAAGTCTATTGAGAAAGGACTCTTAAAAGATGAATAGCAGAGGAAATAGCTTATTTCATAAAATGAGACAACACTCACATATTTGGAATTGAGTCTTAAAATTAGTTTTAAGTTTGTATGACTTTTCTAACAGCTGTGTGGTGGATAGTAATGAGGTTGGTTTTTTTTTTTTTTTTGGAGGTGAATTTCTATAACAAATCAGTTTTCAGTTTTATATTTAAAAAGTCATTTGTCCCTGGTATTTGAAGATGATCAAATTCATATTCTTGGCTAATGTTAGGCTATTATCGCCTAAGAAAAATGGTTATTCATAAGTCTAAAGACAAGTCACATGAGACCAAAGAAGACAGTTGAGTTTAATGAACTCTTGAAATTACCTATATCAAGTTTAGTTTTATAGATTGGCAATGAAGATGCCAATATAAACTCATAAACATTGCCTTGGAATTGATTCTGACTCATAGTGAGCTACCTAACGCTGTTAAATGCTGCCCAGTGGGTTCTGACTCATAGTGACCATATGTTAGGGTTTAGGAGAGGCTGGAGGGTTTGAACAGACGACCTTGTGGTTCAAACTGACCTTGCTGCCCAGTGCTCATATCTGTTGCTGTTCAGTGCTGTGGAGTAGGTTCCAACTCATAGCAACCCTGTATAGGATTTCCAAGGAGTCGCTAGTGAGTTAGCACTGCAGCATAAAATTGCCCCAGAATACTTCCACATCTTTCTTCCTGGGAGTGACTGGTTTGGTTCGACTTGTGGACTTTTCAATTGGCAGCCAATCACTGTGCCAAGTGGTCTGGAATACAGCTTAATACACTTTAACAGGGAATTGTTGTTGTTGTTGTTAAGTGCCATCGAGTCGGGTCCGACCCATAGCGACCCTGTACAGGGTTTCCGAGGGTGTAAATCTTTACGGGAGTAGAAAGCCTCATCTTTCTCCCGCGGAGCGGCTGGTAGTTTCGAACCGCTGACCTTAAGGTTCGCAGCCCGATTCGTAACCACTACGCTACCAGAGCTCCTTTTAACAGGGAATAGTGAGAACATATTACCTTCCAGTAATAGACATGGTCAGTGAATGTGACCTGTGGCAGTGTCAGAGAAGCCTCCCAGACCATCTGGTTTGCTCCTGGTGCTACTTGCTTGCTTTAGTTTCTTCCATAGCACTCATCATCAATCTGCCAGAATACATACTTAGTTGATTTCTTGCTTACCTTGCTTTACTGGAATGTAAACTCCATAAAGACAAGAATTTTTTGTCTGAATCTGGTATAAAGTAAACACTCAGTGACAATTTGTGGAAATAGCACAAATGAGCTATCTGCCTCACCTGACTATTCTTTTGAAAGGAGAAAAGACTGCATGTCACCAGTATCATATAGATTTGGGGTATGGCCACTTTTTTCTTTAGGAAATAATGGGTAACTGAATCAATGGAGTAAATGTGCCTTTGGTATTCTGAAAACGAAGGACTTGGAAGATGACTGCCAAAGAAGGCAAAAATATATCTAGGAACTGAGCGAATGCTCACGGTGGACCTGGAGGTACAAGTATGGTGACATAGCAAGATTGAAACAGCATTCTGCAGATATAGGAACTTGAGAAGCTAATATATTACTAAAGTATGAACGTATATTTTTATAAGATTGATAAAAAATGTTTTAAGTGAATGCCAAACCTGTTTCATGCCTAATTATTTAGTATGTATCCCAAGCATCTCTTGCATTGTTATAAAGACACGTTGTATATTTGGAACTGATCTGAAACTAGGACAGGGACTATGTGTGGGTGGGGAGGGGAGGAATAGTTACATTTTAACAGAAATGAAACAGGAAAAGTCTATGAAAGAGAAATTACCCTGATACTTGGCACTACACAAACCCAGAAAATGTTTCAGAGCCTTCTCTAGAAGAGTTGTTTTGTTTTGTTTTTTCCACAAAGAGTGGAAGTTCTAAAGAAAAGTTAGAGCAAATGTATGAAAGGAAATGAGAGTGATCTCATTGAGTCCTGGTGTAGCATAGGGTAACTACTAGACTGCTAACTGCAAGGTTTGTGGTTCAAACCCATCAATCACTTCTCAGAAACTCTTCTCTGGGATGGTTGAGTCTGAACAGTCTCAACAGTACTTACCAACAACAAGTGATAGGAAGAGTGTGCTATTGGTATCTAGGGTGGACTTGACAAATGGATTTTGATTAATAAAAGTATTATATTGAGAGGATTGCATAGTGGTTAAGAATCAGCCTGCAAACCTCAAGGTCAGTAGTTCGAAACTACCAGTTGTTCCACCAGAGAAAGATGAGGCTTTCTGCTCCCATAAAGATTTATAGCCTTGGAAACCCTGTACAGAGTCGCTGAGTCGAAACTGACTCCATGGCACGCTGCCACCACCACCATTGAAAGGATATCAGTGCCCCACAGGATTTATAGGAATATTGGAGAACCAGGTCAGCTCCAAGGATCTAGGTTGTTGTTATTAAGTGCCTTTGAGTCGGTTCCAATTCATAGCTACCCTGTATAAGGTTTCAGAGGAGCGGCTGGTGAGCTTGAACTTCTGACTTTATAGTCCAGCACATTAACCAATGGTGCCAACACTAGGATCTAGGTAACAGAAACTATTTGCTAGTCTCAAGAAGACATGTTTTACAATATAAAATCCAATAAAAAGGAAGGGCAGCTTCAAAAAAGTGTTGGCTGTTTGGAATATTTGTTGTGGGGAGTATACAAGGTTGAACACTTGCAGGATTTTGTGAGTGACTGGTAAAGTGATGAGTGAGTTGAGGGTACCTCACAATGTGTTGATGGGATGGACCACTAAAGATTTGGATGTCATATTTTTTAAAATACCAAAGTCCTTCATCCGAAGTGGTTTGAAGTGAGTAGAGATCAAAGGGAAAACAAGGGCAGATCATGTGGGGCCTCAAAGAGTAATTTTCACCCTGAGTAAAATTGGCTTTGAGATCACGCTGGCAACACGTTGGAGATAAATTATAGGAGAGCAGAGGTGGACACAGAAGCCTAATTAAGAGACTTAAATATCCAGATGAAACAGATACTTCCTTGGACCAAGATAGATACATTGGAGTTTCTTAGTGCAGCGAACATGTCATTTGTTGTTGTTGTTAAGTGCCATCGAGTAGGTTCTGACCCCTAGTGACCTTATGTCATTAGATTTTAGTAAAACCCAAACACGTTACCATCGAGTCCATTCTCACTCACAATATAGGGTTTCTGAGGCTAAATCTTTATGGAAGCAGACAGTTTCTTCTTTCTCCCAAGCAGTGACTACTGGTTTTGAATGCCAATGTTTTTAACAATCCAGGCTTCTAGGTATGTGCATTTTGAAGGTA